GCACCTAATGGAGATGCATGCTGCCTGGATATAAATACTTTAAAAACAAAAGCCAGAAAATAAAAGGAAAATAAAAGGGAGTGGGGGAGACCTGAGTGAACTTGAATGTTAAAAAAATAAAGGTAATCAAAGGTAGGAAAGATGCATGTGAGATACTGTTAAAAGCATCTTTACAGACGAACATTGGAATGATGGCAGTACAGAGGCAAGGGGATGCTAAAATAAGAAAATCTAAGCTAGAGAATGAAGGGAAACCTGTACATCATATTACAGTAAATGAGATAATTGTCAAATACCAAAAGAACAAGATAATAGTGAASGAGAGAAAGATGACTAAGGGATGGGGATGGTAATTTAATGAAACACAGGAAGACCAAGCTGGGTCCAACAGATAGCCCCTATCATGTATTATTGAGCATTCATATATATGAAGCATTATATTAGCCTGTCCTAGGGAAACCTGAGTTTTGTGAATTTTACTTTTACAATGATACACTAGCAATCACTACTATCTATAGGTAGCAGAACATTTGTTGTGGTCCTCCTTTATGGTATCTTTCATTTATTTTGACCAGAGTGACTCTTCAACTTCACTACAATATAATGAGACATGCTTTTAAAAAATATATCTAGATGTTGTTCTGTTATAGACCTCATGTTAATTGACGAAAGGCCAAAACTTACATGTACAAGTAATGACAAGTAATGTACTACACAAGCTGTAGCAATTTTCTCCTCCCTCGGAATGCTAAGCTGTTTTTATATTTGTTCCAGTCCTTCTGGATGTTAGCCAAATATAAAATAGTATTTGGTACAGACAAATATTGTACAAATTTGTCTTTTTGTCCCAAATTTCTGATGTATGAATTTAYGTCGCCACTAAATCTTTCTGTACCYTCACTTTCACCTGTGTGAAAGTAACAATCATGCCCCCACATATCTCTAAAATCAGTTAGAGTGAATGAGACCTACGAGAGTGATGTAAACCTTTCCAAACACACATATCAATCTGGGCACAGCTGAGTCTGACTCTATAAACCATCTTGCAAAGTGCTAATCCACATAAGTCAATGCTTTYGGTGCCAGGAAACTCTCATCTCCTCCTCTTTTGGATTGTAGCCAACAGGGGAAGTTCTAGTACATGAAAAGGAAGGGTGTCTTTCTTAGTAAGCCCTATGGTGGTTCTGAAAACTTTTATCCACCCCTCCCTCTACTCAACCCTCACCAGCATGGAGCTTAGTGCATAATCACAGGCTCAGTTTTGAATTACCATGAGGACAGTGGCTAGAATACAGTGTGGTTACAACTGGAGGTCCTCATGCCTGGCTGTGTTCCCAAGCACTCAGCTGCAGCCCTTGAGCCACAGCTTCTGAYGAGCTCTAAGAGATTCCCAGAAAACTGCTCAGATGTCTGCATTTTCTGGCAAGCATAGCTCCAAGCATATGGTCAGTTTGAATGGCCTTGGGAATCCTCCAACAGGCTTTAGAACTTGAAAGGGCTAGGTGGTTTGATTATCATTATATCAGYCAGTCACTCAACATTTTTGACCCCCTACAATTTACCAGGCACTGTGCCTTGCACTCTAAGGAATCAAAAGAAGAAAGTCTATGAGTTTTAGGCTCCACAGATGAAGATGATATAGATATGGCAAAGCACCTAGCAAAGTAACTACCATTGCAGTTATGAATGGTACTAATGAAGTTTGAAAATCTAARGAGAGCATGCACTAGAATAAGCAGGGATGCCTTTCCAGAGAATATGAGACTGGAACTGAATTGCAAAATTTGGATATATTTGGAGTAAGTGGAGAGAAGTTAAGAATCAATAATATAAACAAAATCTTTTTTTCCAAAAAATAAAATAAGTAAGAATAGTAATGTGGTAATGAGGGTGACAAGATTCAATAAAAAAATTGTTTTTCAGTCATCTATTTAACCATACTCAGAGAATATTAGCTGTAAAGTAGCCATTATACTAGATGATGGATATAAAGTGATTAGCAAAATAGACCAACTACTTGCCTCTTAGAGCTTACCTTTTAGTTGGGAGGTAGTTGACAAATAGTAAGTCAGTAATAGTAAATCAATTACTTATTTATTAAAATGAAATAAGTAATTCTAAACTGAACAATACGATGAAGGAAGTATCCTGATGCAGGAGAAACGTGGAGAACTGAATAGGCACTTGGGAATGGCTAAGAAGAGCCACTTAAATTGAAAACGGATGGATGATAAAGGTCCCATCACTGAAAGAGTCAAAAAGAAGCATATTACAGGCAAAAACAACAGGATACACAAAAAGTCCCAAAAAAGGGAAAAGCTTGGCATATTTAATATACTAAAAGGAAGCCAGGGAGGTTGATTGCAAAGGGCCTCAGTGATTCCTTTGTAAATATGTTTTTATCACAAGACATGCAAGATTCTTTTTTTTTTAAAAGAGAGAGAGAGAGAGAGAGAGAGAGAGAATTTTTTAATATTTATTTTTTAGTTATCAGCGGATACAACATCTTTGTTTGTATGTGGTGCTGAGGATCGAACCTGGGCCGCACGCATGTCAAACGAGCACGCTACCGCTTGAGCCACATCCCCAGCCCCATGCAAGATTCTTGATATCTCAATATTGGAGTATTCATACAATTGGTACTGAGAGTTCAATGTTTGTTGTCAATGACTTTTCACATTACACCTACTACAGCAGGCCAATAGGAGAAGTGAAGACAATGAATGTGATCTTGGTCATGTGGAATGTGGGAAGTGSTGTGCTTATGTACATCATTTTTTAAAAAGTTTGATGCTTGAGTTATTCATAAGAATTGGTTAGTTTGATGGTGTGAATACTTGTAATACTTTAGCTTAAATTATAATGTACATATTTTGCATATTAAGAGATAACGGTGCTGGTGATCCATGCATTCTTAAGATAATATATTGGACGATGACCATATTGCAGATTGAGTCCCTTATCATGATTTTCCATTTAGGTGAAAATGGAAGTGATATCAGAGTACAGATAGGGTTAGACTAGAGAACTCTAGTTTTGGTGATATTAGCTGTTTTATGCCTTTCTCAAATATCATCTAATACTCTTAATATTAAACTCATTAAACAAAAGTAAACAAGCCACAAGAGAAAAAGACAAATTTCTGTAGCATGCTTTTTAAWTTTTTTTTAATTTGTTCATTTTAGTTATACATGATAGTAGAATGTGTTTTGACATATCATACATACATRGAACATAACTTCCCATTTTATGGTTGTTCATGATGTGGAATTACACTGATCGTGAATTCATGTATGAACACAGGAAGGCTATGTCCTATTCATTCTACTGTCTTTCCTATTCCTATCACCCCTCCCTTCCCTTTACTCCCCCTTGTCTAATCCTGTGACATCTGAAGCAGTTGACTTTAGTGATTCAAAACTAACTCTTAAATAACTACATGTGTAAAGTGTTTGTGTATGTATTGTGTGTGTGTGTGTGTGTGTGTGTAAAAGTGATTTGAGCATCTGATTCTTGAATGCAAACATGTGAAAGAAATTACTAGGACACATTTGTAATACCTAGGGATTTTATGCACCGTTTACTACCAAAAAGAATTTTTTAAAATCCAAAAGTGAAAGTAATCCCATTATTAATACATTAGAAGAATAAATCTAGAACATTAAATATATTGATTAATATTCTACAAGTCTCAGTGTATATGTATAGCAAACTACAAAGAGAAGATTTTAAATTTTTCCAATGGATTATTTCCTTTTCATCATTTTGTATTRTTAACACTCGCAAATTGAGAAATTGGATGATAATAGTTGGATTTTTATTCTATCTTTTATGAAAAACCTTGAAACCTTTCATAAATTAAACTTCTCACTGCCCCTGGGAAAACACAAAATGCAGAGAAATTCCTGTGGCATCTCTTGCCATTTCTGTACAGGCCCGACATTTAGTTCTACTTAAAATATTTAAAATAGAAAAAGATGAATCCTTTGGCCATGCTTAGAATGTAAGGACCCTGGTCAATCAAGACTGTAGAGCATTAATACTCTGTCAACTTGGACTGCATACAGCAATATTGAGGCAGTTTGTGATTCTCTGATTCATATCTGTGGTTAGATTACATCCTTTTAGTAAAAGAGAAGTCCTTTTCATTCATATATGTGTACACATAGAAAAGTGAGGAGTAAACCTGTGTCAAGGCGCTCTAAACTTTGTAGTGCCTTTTAAAGAAACATTTAACATTTTACAGATCTTTTGTATTAGACTATGCTCTGTCTTAACTCTGAACAATCCATTGTATCAAATGGCGTCTTCAATGTAAACAGAGGTAAATATGTATAAGGTCCTCCTTGGGAGGTAGAGCTGTTTGAGAGTTCTTTTTTATTTTGCATATGGTATATGGTTCTGTGCCCTATTTCTGCCAATGACATATAGAAAAGTTAGTATTTATTCTCTCTTGATGTTTTACTGGCATCTTTGAAGTGTTATACAACAAGCATTTACTACTGGATAACTAAGCACTTCTACCCTTTGTTTCTTTAATTAACGTATTGATCTACACTGAGTCTATAGGATCAAGCTTATTGAGACAGACTGCCTATTCTTCCCCCAAGAGAYGGTTGCTGGTCTCCTCATGTTTTCAAATAAAAGGCAGACAAACCTGCAACACATGGAGCCCAAAGATTTCATAAAGACTTTGGCAATAGTACCTTACAGATATTTCAAAAATAGTTGTGCTTTATCACTTCTTCTGTGCCATCACATATAATGAGTCTTTTAAAAAGACTAAATACAGCTCTCTGATTTTCATTTAATGGAAGAAGTAATAAAGTTTAATTGTATACTTGAACATGGGGTGTCATTYCCAGTACTTCTGATCAATAATTCATCGATTGCTTTTGGCTCAAAGTAAAATTTGAAAGAAAATATAGCCAGTGGGAGCTTATCTCACTGTAGCTTTATCATCTCTATTAATTATGCTTTTCCCAAATTTGGATCATTAGGCTACCAAAGTGACAGCAGATGGTGAGCAAACGGGACAGGATGCTGAGAGGACCAACACAAGAGCAAAGTCCCTTGGAGAATTTGTTGAAAAGCTTGCCCACGATGCAGAAGGTATTAGAGAAACCATGTTGTAATCATTATTTGTCTCAACAGAAAATAGAGAAAAGAGATTATAAGATTCTCTTGTAAAGATGCTATTTCTAAATTCAAGGGTTGAGTTTTTCAAAGTATTTTGTTAAAATATCTACTGAGAACCTGTGACCTACAGTGGTAAATGAATGACAATAGCCAATGAATTAATGATGATAAGCACAGAATAGTGGTAAATTCTTGAGGAATAACTATTACAATTAAATTACTCATGGGAAAGCTACGTTTTGCTACTTTTGTGTTCAAAACTATTTAAAATATTTTTTAATTTTTAAAAAGGCTTATTTGATAATCTATTCGGTACATGAAAGCAGCACTTTAATTTCTCAAAATGGCCTTTCAAATTCTTGGTACAAGATTTTTAATGAACATCTGTTGCTTGGGATTTGGATGTGCTACTTCACAGAAGCTCCCCTGCATTTTGTCCACATTTCCCTAGGAGTTAGTTGTTGGCAACTGCCAGTATGATTGAGAGTTAAAGTGGAGACCATCTTTGGGCAAAAGCTCTGCTGAGACCCAATTGATGAAAACAGATAATGCCCACACCACACTAAAATAAAACTAGCTCTTAAATGTCTACTAATATAAGTATGTATGCATGTTGAGAAAGTTTTTAAAAAGAAGGGTTTTTCTCTCTAAAAAATAAATATTTTTTTATTGCTCTATAACATTATGCATATTAGATCATTTGCTTTGTAATATAGTTTAATAAATCAGGAAAAGTTCTAAACTTCAAGGCAGATTCTAACTAGTATCACATACAGGAAGATTCCCCATGGCAATTAGGAACAGAGTTCTAAACATGTCAGAATCTAAAACAGAAGTTACTTCCATTAGAACAATCTCAGTGAACTTATGTGTTTTATCCTCTGTTAGATGAGATTGGTATGCTTTCCCTGGGATTACTTTCCATGAATGCTACTTAAAAGTCCCCTTCCCCAAACAGCAACCATAACAACAACAACAAATCCCAGGTAAGCATAGCAGTTTCCCTCCATGTGGCTCCCTGAAGATGCCAGTTAATGTTCTAAGATCTCTCCTTTCCTTCTGTCTGAAATTTCAAACACCCAGAACCAAGATGCTATGCTCATCCCAGAGACTCATTTTAAAAATTATTTCAATGAAATATTGGTACATCAGAATAAGTGCTAACACATGCACTAATAGACCACACTGTCATTACTGCTCATTTTCTCTTTTACATTGAGTCCTCCACCCGCCATCACACAGAGACATGTATTTGTGGACTTTTTTTTTTTTTTCCTGCATGGCCAAGGCCATTGTACAGTTTGTGCCCCACACCAGACACCAGTGGAGACAAACTGGAGATGATGTTTAACATGGGTTTTGCAAACTTGAGATGATGTTTAATATGGGTTTTGTTCAACAACCATATTCTCTGACTTATTACACTGAAAAAAATGTGTCTTTTTTCCCAAATTGTGCATTGGTCAGATGATCTATCTAGATGAGACATCTTTTTCTAATTCATGTGAAGTTACATGGGATTTTTGTACCTGAGGAAAACAGGGCACTGCTCACTTCTGCCAGCAGACACTATTTGGCAGAATTGATGCAGCTGTTAAAATGGAAAGCAAACCAGAATATTCCAGTGATGTACTAAATTTTTGCTAATATGTAAATAGGTTATACAACATACTCAGACTCCCCCTGCCACCCATCAAAACTACAGTAGGGAAAGTCATGAGTAATTTTGCATTTTATTAGTGGCAATAAATTGCTATGGAAAAAGTGAATACTTCAGCCTGGCATTTGTCCACTTTGGTTTYATGTTTAGGTAGAGGTGAGTGCCTCACCTCTCCCCCACTTTAAGTCATGGCCTCATTATACATGATCAGCTTCTCTTCATCCAAGACCTTGTACCCCACTCTAATTTTATAATATCTTCTCTGATATGACTCTCCATTAGGTCATGAATATTTTACACCATGCATTATTAGAACGAATGAATGGACATAGGTGAACCCCATTAGTGTCAACACCCTGACACAYAAAAGCACCTGAGGTTAGACACCCTTCTAGGCTGTTTCTCAGGTCAGAGTAGCAGTGTTCATTCTTGATTACTTTACCTATCACAGGATTTCTTTCAGATTTATGTACAAAAAACATCCTGGCATATCCTGAAGATTTGGCTTATTTTTATTTAGGGATACTGTATAACTCTGGAGATTCTCTTCATTTTCTCAGCTTGGAACTAGATTTAGGGACCATTGTTTAGAACATGATGACACACCTTTTTGCATAGTAAGACTTTTCCTGATTCACATTAATCTTTTCCCTTTACTCCTATTTTTTTCTTATAGGAGAATTGAGTCACCATGTTTTAAAGACATTTTTAATTCCTTTAAATTCTCATATGAAATAAGGTCCAAATAAATGAGTAAATTCAAAAGCTATATTTATTTCACAAATATTTTCAATAACTGTGCAAAAGAAAATATATTGCAGTGACAACATATACCTCTGAGTAAGAGATTAAATAACACATTCATCTTTAGTATTAAAATGCTCAGAGAAGTTTTAATCTCACATATATATAAGTAGTAGAGCAGGTAAACCTCTTCTATTAAAAGGCTTGCTTTCTTAACACAGCATCATTTTACTAAAGCCATTTTTTGTGTACCCTATTAATTTCTTTAGTTCTTTACATAATATTTTAATTAAAAATAAAATGATCTGCATTTCAAAACATGCAGCCATTTTTAACTTTTCCTTTTCTCTCTCTGATGTCATTCTTTTCTGCATAAGTTTAGCTTTGAGCCTAAACCACAAGAGAAACAGTGAAATTATATCCCATGTTCTCCCTTCTCTAGTATGGCTTGTGCTCAGACCTAAATTAGATCAAATTTCAAAGAAATATTTTTATCATTTAGGTACACATTTAATAAAGAAAAAACATGGCTTTCAGAGATTAAGAAGTGAGATTTATCACTGTCAATTTTAAAGAGTGAATATAAATGATGTCTGTAGTTACTTATATGCCACAATTGGTTTACATCAGCTTTGCCAACAGGCATGTGCTCAGACTAAAGGATGAGGCTGTCCATAGGTACAGCCAAATCTATGACAGATTCTACTTTTTTGAAATTTTAGRAGAATAAAATATCTCCCATTTAATCATTGGCCCTCTGGTATGCCTCCCATATGGTCCACTGGACCAGAGAGCTTTCAATTAAGCAGTTCATGGTCACAGTGGCCCCATAATAGACATGACACATGATGCTGGATATCTTACTAGCATGTGATAAAATCTTGGGAAGGTTCTTTGACCTATTTCAGGATGACTGTTAGAAATGTTCACCCTCACTAACTTCTAGGAATATAGCACCTGAGCAATGATTTCTTCCACAGGGCTAGGGGTGGTTCCTAGGAGTATTCTTTAAAACACAGGATTCAAATTTTTCTGCAAATTAATCTATTGCTGTCTAAGTATGTTCTGACCATTTGAACAAATATATCACACACCTGTGGGCTTAAAAGCAAATTAAATATCTTTTTCATCTTTCATAAAGCTGATACATCYAAAATTAAGGCACTGGTGTAGCTAGTGTCTGGAGAGGAGCCCCTTTCTTATGTGCCAAGGGCAGTTTCTTGTTATACCTCACATGATGGCAGGGTCAAGGGAGTCCTCTGCAACCATTGTATGAGGTCACAACCCCTTTCCTGACCTCATGATCCAATCAACTCTCAAGAGTCTTACCTTCATCTACCATCACAACAGGAATGGTTTCAACACAAACCTTATGTCTATAACAAAGGCTATAGGAATAAGGTGTTGACTGCAGCAATTTTCTTACCAAAGACTTTTATATGAAAAGGAAATTACAAAGGTGCATTTGGGAAAGGGATTGAAACTAATTAAAACAAAACAAGCAAACAAACAAAAGAACCTCCATTTCTTCTACTAACCCAGTACTCCTTGCACTCCAGCATGTGTCAGAAGCACCCTTAGGACTTGTTTAAAAAACACCAAATTACTGGTCCCCTACTCCCAGAATTTCTATTTCAATAGGTCCATGGAAGGCCTGAGAATATGCATGTCTAACAAGTACCAAGGTGATGCTGCTGCTACTTAATGCGGGAACAACATTTCAGATCCACTCTACTAACTAACCCACCATTTCACCACCCACTCTGGCTAATATACATTCCTGACTATGTGCATCTGCTCAGGAGCTTTGACCAGTATAAATCAGAAAATAATCTCTCCAGAAATGAATGTTCAGGATTTATTATGTTTACAGAAGTCTTCAGATACCCTCTTGACTATATATGCCAGCCCAGACCCCCATTCTATGGCTTTTCATATATAATATTGTAGAAATAACTATTCAGCAGACAAAGAGTTCAGAAAATATCTCCCTTCAGCTCACCAAATTAATGTTCAATAGAACACTTTTCAAGCAACTTTAGTCTAAAATTAATGGTTAGAACTCTGTAAAATGTTTCAATTCACCAATTCTTTAAACTTTTATTTGACAAAGAATTCTTTTTCCAAATGAAATTTTGCCCAGAACACCAACTTATAAAACAGATTCTTGGCAGAATAGACATTATTTGTAGAATACCTGAAGTACCTGGAGAATCCTAATATTCCAACAAATACAGCTTGAAGCTCCATTTAATGCATAAAAACATGGACTGCTAGGATGGATGTTACTGCTGGAAGGCATCTTCAAGGTCTAATCTATACCCTGGTCCCAGGACCAGTGCTCCTTCCCTCACTCCTTTATAACAATGAATACAAGAGTACTTGTGGAAACTCAAGGGCAAGTTCATGTTCAGAAACCTCATCACTGATAGTATTTCTATATTAAGTATTTTAAAACAGACTAAATATGACAGGTTTATCAGCAATAGGAAGATTTCTTGTTTTCACTTCCAAGAACTAGTCTGCACATCTCATTTTTTATTTTTTCTTGGAAGAGAATTTGACCCACTGCTCTGTTAGTATTCTTTCCTTTTGAGTTTTGAAACTGTGTTTTAATTCCTGTGTCCCCTAAAAGAAATCTAATATGAAGAATTATGTCACATTTCCCTCTTTGTTGGTGATTGTTACACAACTGCCTCTCTCTTTCCCAGCAGGAACACCTCTGGCAAATTACTTTCCACTTGGAGGTGGTGGTAAGGAGCAGATGTTGAATGCCACTTTCGCTTGTGACACTTTTGTTTACTAATTTGCAAAATTTGTTTTACCCCCTGCAGCTGTAAATGAAAAAGCCATAAAACTAAATGAAACTCTAGGAACTCAAGACAAGGCCCCTGAGAGAAATTTACAAGAGCTTCAGAAAGAGATAGATCAGTTGATGAAAGAGCTGAGGAGGAAAAATCTGGATAAACAAAAGGAAGTTGCAGAAGATGAGTTGGTGTGAGTAGATCCTCTATTTCTTCATTTGATAAATTGAGCTTTTAAAATTATGTATAGATTTCTAAATTTCTATCAYATATTTAAGCAGATAATAATTTTATTCTGACCTGGAAATGTTTGCTATTTATTTATTTTTCATTTAGTTACTAAGGTTATACTTACTTTGCTCTAAAGTGAATTAAAAGCATTTTTCCCTATTTTTATAAATAATCAAATAAATGATTTTTTCCTGGTATTGTCCTTTTTATAATTAGATTAATGGATTTTCTTTATTAATAGCCTGTATTAGGGGATTTTAAACTATCAATAAATTTTTGTTTTAATAAGAATACTTTTGGATAAATAAAATTGTGTCTTAGCCAGACCATCCAAATACATTATTAGTTCAGGAAATTCAGGTAAGTCAAACCCAAACAATTCTCAGATCACTCAGTTGAAAGAAAAAGAAATGAAGATTGAAATCATAACATTACATTGGCATAACAAAAATAGAGTTCTGTTCATAGTTTCTAAGCAAATATGTCAATATTCATCTAGTATATTCCTGTTATGGAGAAAATGTCCCATTTTGGTGACAGGGGAGGGTTTTTTGTTGCTGTTATGTGAARTAAATCATAGAACTCATTTCATCAGTCATGTTCTGTGAATTACATGAGGACCCCATCAAATGAAAATAATATCTTACTAATGAATTTCGAGGTTGGGATTTTTTTTCTTTCTGTTTTAAATTATAAACTATGTGCTACTTTCAGAGGCCAGATTTCAATTGGATTTAGTACAGACCGAATCTGCCTCACATGCTTACGTTTCACGCTTTTTTATATTAGCATCTCTTGGTAACACAGTTTAATACCAATAGGTCCTGAGGCAGTGACATTATTGTCTGTGCTTGGGCTGGGTGGTTACAGAGCTGCAGAAGGCCTTTTGAAGAAAGTAAACAAGCTATTTGGAGAGTCCAGAGGCAAAAATGAACAATTGGAGAAGGATCTCAGGGAGAAACTGGCTGACCACAAGAACAAAGTTGATGAWGCTTGGGACCTGCTGAGAGAAGCCACAAATAAAACCAGAGAAGCGAATCGCTTATCTGCTGCCAACCAAAAAATCATGACTGCTTTAGAGGTGAGTGTTAGGTGCTTTCAGTAGACTCTCGGGGATGGAGAGTAGGGTGGAACAGTCAAGTTGATACACATTTACGACCATCAAGAATGACAACTCTGAACAGAGACTACTAAGCAGAACAGAAAATGATCTTCTCTCTCTCTCTCTCTCTCTCTCTCTCTCTCTCTCTSTGTGTGTGTGTGTGTGTGTGTGTGTGTGTGTGTGTTTGTGTATGTATGTATGTGTTGGAAAGAAAAAGAGAGTGAGAGTCCTTAATGATTATTTTCCATTGAATCAATTAAAATTCAGATAACTTAGGCTATGTAATGTTTTTAAAGACAGTATGATACAGTGAAGAAGCTCTTTCCTGGGAGTTAGGGGACTTGGATCTCAATAATGAGTACCACTAACTGTAAGATTGTACCAGTCAATTTATATCTCTGAGCGTCAGATCTCTTACTCTTCCATGAGTGCATTATATTAGAGCATAMCTAGAGTATTTTCAAATCTCAATGCCATATGATTTTGCAGTTCACCAACATAACCCACAAATTTGATTCAAAGATCTGGCTGCCAAAAATCATAGAAGTCTCTACATTTTTCAACAGAATCTGTGCACATGAGCAATAGCTCACTGAGAAACCAGAGCTGGAGAAAACCCTGGATTCCCTTTTTATTTGCACTGTGTTCCAKGCAAATGATACTTTTAAAGGGACTGACAGGAGCAGATCAATTCTGGGTTATTTCCCCACCTTTCTCTCAAAGAGATCTAGAAATTTTAGGCAGCCCTTTTGCAGAGGCTTTCTCAAAATGTGCCTTGTTCTAGAACTAAAACAGATTCTTCCATTGTTTTCTTTTTATTTTTAAAAATTTCTTCTTTCTCTTAACATGATTAATCACTTTCCCTACAACTAAATTCAGTACATAGGATGGCACAATCCCGTGTTTGGTAAACAACTTTCTTCACAGAGACAAACCAACCTTAGCTGATTTTGAAGTATTTGACCCCCATAGATCTGAACAGCAGCAGCACTCCATCTCTACTATCATAGAATTCCATCTTCGAGGATAAAACAACATCCTGGCATAGCATATGCTCTCAAAAAAATGTTTGTTGAATGCCAGTGATGATTGAATTAATGAGCCTGGATTAAAAAAAAAATTCCACTAATGTTCCTTTGTGTTAAGAAGTAAAAGGATGAACTAAATTTTTAAAAAAGCAATYTATGGGTCCCTCCTCTAAGGTATAGACTGAGAAGGCTCACCTTTTTATAACTGATGTGTCTAATCTTAACCAATTTGTAGTCTACTGACAAGCTAACAATATTCAAGAAAAAGCACCATCTGGAGAGGCTGGAGCCCAGGCTGCCGTCCTGTCAGAGGCTCCAGCATGACTCATTCTGCTTGGTGACACACCAGTGGTGCAACTTATTCTGAGGGGCACCTCTCCATTTTATRGCTACAGTTGAAGAAATTAAAATGACCTGTGTGGAGAGCATGATAAGCATTCGAGAAGTATTTCAAGAAGAGTTATAGTGGCACATAAATGGTGCTTTCAGCTCTTCCTCCCTTTTCCTTCCTCCCTTTGCAGAGGCTTTTAGTGATGTTTAAAACTAAGAGCCATCATTCTTGGGTACCCCAAGAGACTCCTGTAGCTTATATAGTCAGGACTGAAATTCTATGTCATCCTTTCTGTCTTTTGTTTTATGTGCCACTACTAACTAAAGGCTTGTTTAGATATTTATCAGATAAAATAGATGTTTAATAAATTAACATGAATAAAGTACAAATTATTTAAGGTTGCTTGTCTCTACCAAGGGTTTTGCCAAGCTACCTGAAAACATCACCTGGAAAGTCCATACACTCCAATTGGGAATCTGGTTAGTCTGCTCTTGTGTGTGGCCCAATGTCCATATCCTAAAATTCACTGGGTTTATTTGATGCTCATCTAGGCTTGGGAACAGTGGATGCACTGTACTCATTGGATTAAATAATGAGCTATTTTTAAAATAAACCTCCATTGTGTTAGTGTCTTCAATGAAGATGATATAATTAAAAGCCAACTTGGATGGTTTATATTTATTTTAAAGTGGTAGGCATACATTTTTTATTATTAAAAACTTTTATTAATTGAAATTCATTGTTATGTGCATGTACAAATATGCCACAATGAAACCTACTATTATGTATAAATATTATGTACCAATAAAAAAAAAACTTTTATCAAGCCCCTTACTATATTCAGGAAATACGCTGACCACAGAATTTATTGTAACAGCTCTCAGTCACCATGATGTGGTCCTCAGAGTAACAGTATCAACATCAGCTAGAAATGGGTCAAATATGTGATTTTTCATGCCACTATTAACTTGTGCTATCAACTCAGAAATTTTGAGGAATGGGGTGGGGGGTCCAGTAACCTGTTTTAAAAAATCCCTCCAGTGAATCAGATGCAGCCTTAAGTTTGAGAACCCAGATATAAGGAATAAAACACCATTGCTGATAACTGTCTAGTGGGAGATACACACAAGCAAACCACTTATACACTAGAGCAGAGATCATGGAGGTGAGCAAAGGGARCCTCAGATGTCCCCACGTTCTCAAGGGGCTTCAGAGAGGCTCTGATACTTGTGCCTAAAGGACAAGTGCTACTTAGTAGAAATAAAAAGAGAAAAGCATTACAGAAATAGGAAAAAGCATGAGCTCAGGCATGAAAAAAGAAAGGTTGGACATTGGAGAAAAAATTCGGTGGTTTGATAGAATTGGAATGAAACCTGAATGGGAGTAAATGTGTAGACAACCTTCAAAGATAGGCAGCCACCAGAGCTGGAGGTGCAGGAGATTGCATTGYGAGACTAAGCCAGAGAGATGGGATTTTTATTCTGAAAACCGAAATATGGAGTCATGGCTTAAAATCACATTGGGGAAATTTGTGAAGGGTTGACATAAACTGGAAAATTGGCTTTGTATTGGAACAGTGCGAGTTTAGCCTATGAAAGTGGCTAGGTAATACTTAAATGTCTGCCCCATCAAGCTGCTGTTGGTAACCAGGGTATTTGAGGTTAAATAGGAATAGTTCCTGGCCTCCTGGAACTTAGAAGCTCCTGAAAACTTTATACATTTTATTCTCTCACTATGTATAATATTGTGATTAATACTGACTGAGTCAGCAAAAGAGCTCCAAAAATTATGGCACCATACCAAAAAAAAAAAAAAATTGAAAGAAAGGAGAAAACAGCATGAGCACAAGCTTGGAGCTCTGAAAGTGTAAGGTGATCTGAGAAATGTCAAGTGCAGCAGTGCAGCTCATTCATAAGCCACATAAAAGTCTGCAACATAARATGGGTCTGGAAATGGCATTTGGAGCCTAAACATAGAAAACTTTGAATGCAAACTACTAGAGGTGACAGAGTTAGAAGGGCATTTCTGGTGATGGAGAGAAAACTGCAGGGACTGATGAGCAGAAAGAGATGAGGTGAGCAGAAGAGTGAAGCAAAGAATGTGTATTGAACCATCTGTCAGAACCTTGCTGAAGAAGAGATTGCAAAGAAAGAAAAGAGTAAGTTGCTACCTAAAAGGTAAGACAGGAAGGTAGCATTTGTTGGTTCCTGAAAAATCTACCCCCTACAACAACGGAAGACAGGGGGTTAGTGTTCAACTTGCAAAACTCTGGAAGGAATTAAGATCTAATTAGTATAAGAAGTTAAAAATAAGAATATAATCAACCTTGACATTCAAACAATGATTTAATAATTATGTTCATGGCATACTGAAGAATAATTCTCTCAATACATGGGTATTCCTTTTTGTTCCTTAAATACTCCATTTCTTAAATATATCTTAAAAATATCTTAAGTATTTTACATCCTACATCATTCTCTGTCCATTTATTCTTTTTGTTTATTTTTTGGCATTCATTTTTTCATTACTTAAAAGGATACATTAATTCACTCATTCATTTTCTCCTTCCTGTGTTAGTTAGCTTTCTACTRCTGTGACAAAATACCTGAATTAATCAACTTCTAAGTTTTTCTTGGCTCTAAGTGTCAGAGGTTTCAATCCCTGATTGGTGGGCTCAGTTGTTTTCAGGTTTTTGAGGGGGAAAAATATTATGGCAGAGAGTGTATAATGGAGAAGTTATTCTTCATGGCAACCAGGAAGCAGAAAGAGAGAGAGAGAGACAGGAACTAGGGTCCCAATATCCTCTACAAAATCTGCTTGCAGTAATCATACTCCCTTTCTCAGGCTTCACCTCCAATGGTTCCAAAGCTTGCCATTGGATGGTGAACAAGCCTTCAACACATGGTCTTTGATAGCATTTAGGTTCAAACTGTACCACACCTCCAGATAAGCCACGAAGAACATGTCTTCTTTCTGACTCTATCATCAGAGTCTAAAGCAGCTCTTGGCACTAAAGCAAAACAGACAATTTTTTTCCAGTGAATGAAATTTCATAAAGCAAAATAAATAAATAAATAAATGTTGATCTCTATAATTTTATCAATATGTGGGAGCTCCAGATCTCTTTCTTTGTTTCAAAGCTAGATTCCATCAATGTCTAATTTAAAAATTAGCCACATCTAAAATCTCTTTAACCTTTACAGGATTATTTCTGCCTTAGTATGACAAAGAACATATTTTGATCTTCACAGGACAATGGGCTCTTTAAAGTTGCTCAACTAGAATTTTACAAAAGAAACACATAATTTACTAAAGCCAAAATGGGTGTAGCTCTTCATTTAAACCACATGTGAAAATATTCTTTTCCCTACATTGGTACAGCACTTTAAATTACCTTGACTCWCTAATACAAACAAGCACTGTTGTGACCAAAAAACAAAAAAAGATTCTTGACTTTCTGCACACAGTAGAACTTTAGATATGTTAAAAACTGAAGACTAAATTGATAGTTATATAGCAAATGTCAGACTTTCAGAAGAAAAGATAAGTGGAAATCAGGGATATAAGGACTGCCCCTGCATTTGTTGTCTATGAAGAGGGGGTGAAAAATCAAAACTTACCCTGAATTAGCCAGAGATGAGAGTAGTTGAAAAAGCAAATGTCACTGGCAAAGTTTCAAGTCTCATTTTCATTTATTTAACTGAAACCATTTATTGAGGAAGTTCATCTAACTACTAGAGATAGTGATAATAAGACTTTGTTTATAGGACTTGTAATAGTGAGGGAGATAGTCACTAAACCAATAAACAAGCATGTGATATGGCCATAGAGTTYTGAAATGTGGGATGATGTGTAGTACATGGGTTTATGGATATATATGATCTGTGATATTGCATGACACTTCCARTGTGTCATCCTTCATCTGCAATGTGCAGCTCAGGAGGCTGTGCCTTCTCATCAGTCCCAGCATAAGTATCTATGATACATTTCTATCTCTGATGTTCATTAAATAACCTATGCTTTTAGAAACCCCAGAAGAAGAAATCAAGCTAGTTTTGTTCTGCATAAAAACTAAAATAATCATCTACGTTTCTATGGTTTGTGGCCACCCTATTGTATATKATTCAGCTTAGTGAGTGCTAGGAAGAATAATGAAATAAAGTAATTACTACAATGGTTAACAATTACATAGTGTCACTCTGTGCTAAGCAGTGTTTTAAGCCAAGTCTTCCCAGATTTTACTAGGTATGTCAATCACTTGGGGTTCTCTTTAAAATGCAGGTTCCGAGTCAGTAGTTCCCCAGAAGGTATTGAGATTATGCATTTCTAACAAGCTTCCTGGTRATGCCCAGGCTACTAGTAAATGTGTAGCAAAGGACTAAATATTTTACATGAGGCTTAAGATTTCATAGCATTCAGAACTAGAATTCCATTCCAGCAGCCTGTCCCTTGAATTCCTCTTTTAATCACTGTGCCCTAATCTGTATATAATTATTAGAAGGAAGATGCATGCTATTTTAGATAGGTGGTTGGTAAGTGACCATAAGCAGAAAATGAAGGKAAGAAGCATGCCAGAGAACTTGATAATAATATACAAGAGAGAGAAGTGCGAAGGCAAAGGCTCAGAGGCAGCTAGATATATGTACTGGGCACCAAATTGAAGTGTTGGGAAGACACTAGAAAAGGAGGGTATGAAGTCAGCACTAACCCAGTGCAAATAAGAAATGTGATTTCTGTAATGAGAGAAAGTTCTTTCATTACCCATGGCCCAGAATCTATCTATCATTCAATAGATCAGTATTCAAATTTATTTACCCTATACTAACTGAACTGCATGACCCTTAAGTAAATCACTTAATGTCTTAGTCCACTTGGGATGCTATAACAAAATACCAAAATCCAAGTGGTTTATAAACAAAAGAGATGTATAGTTCTCATATTTATTCCTCATAGTCCATTTTTCTGGATTTCTGGAAATCAAAGATTGAGGTGCTGATAGATTAGTGTCTGGAGAGATCTTACTTTCTAGCTCACAAACGGTCTTTCCACTGTACTTTCACAGATAGAAGGGTTAACAACCTCCCTTGGGTCTCATCTGTAAGAGCATTTATCCCATCTTTATGTTTTCTGCCTTATGACYTAATCTCCTCCCAAAGGCCCAACCTCCTGATACAAACACCTTGGAGATTAAGATTTTTCACTTACAGACTTACGGGGAACAAAAATATTCAGACAATARCACCTAACTTTTTCAATTTTCCACTCATTTAAAAGATAAGCACAGGACACAGAGAGTTGAAATTCAATGGGAAAGCCTTGTAAACTGCCTGACACATATTGATATTTCAATACATATAAACTACTAGTATTATTTATATAAAAACATAAATGGCCTGGCTTACAATTTTAATTGATGCAGCTAAACTTAAATGTAAAATGGTGATTGGAAGAAAATGAATGAGTCAGAAGTATGTTTCTAAAAATKGTAAGCAAAGATATGCTCCAGCTGGAGAAATGGCAGTATTTTTCTCTCATTGATTTTCCTCTTCTAAACCAGGAATGAGTTTCATRTAGTTTTCAGACAAGCTGTAAGTTCCCAAGAAAAGTTAGAGTCTGTTCTCTTCTTATGAAACAGTCTATTAGGTTTATCCTTCCAGGTGATAGTTTCTTTTCTTGAAAAACATTGCCCCTAAGATCTCTTTTAAAGCTCCCTTCTTTGAATTTTACAGAATTCCCATAGAATAAACCTGCTTATGCTTATGCTTACAAAGAACTCATGTGTACATAGCTCTGGAATTCAATGTGCCATTCCACTGTGATTTGGTGTACTATCACATGTTCAGTAGTTCATATTCAGCACTTACAATGTTGTTAAATATGGATGCTTCATCTTGCTTTTAAAATAATTTTAATTCCTCAGCCACTACTATCTCATTTCTTTTCTTCGCTTGGATGCCTTACTCAAATGGGAAGGAGAAATTACCTACTCAGGCTCTAAATAGAAAGACTTTCAGAGGACTAGCTAGGTAGCTTGTATCATTCTCATCTAGTCACRTTGTCAACACGATGTACTTTGTTCGTGAAGCTTTTGTTCAGACAACTCAGGAGAGATAGGGGTGCAGAGCTGGATAGGGTTTTAACCAAATGGTATTTTGATGTCTTGTTCTTCCCATACTATAGGAAAAGAAGGAGGCAGTTCAAAGTGGCAAAAGACAAATTGAGAACACTTTAAAAGAAGGCAATGACATACTTGATGAAGCCAAACGACTTGCAGATGAAATCGGCTCAGTCATAGAAGTGAGTTTTTGATAAAATCCAAAGTTAAAAGAGAGATGATTATGGTGCAGCCTCTCATAAATGGGAAACAAGGAGATATCTTAGTAATATAAGCAGATGCTGACATTTATTTTCTCAAGGAGGGAAAATTATTTTTGTATTGTTCTACTATGATCATACCACCTATTTATAACAATTAGAGCTTTATCTCCTAATAGATATGGATGCTTATGCCATCACACAACTTGTGTTTCTATTTTTTTTCCCACAGTGAAATGTGGGCCATTCCTTGTTCCTAGGGCAGCCTTTAAAATCTGCTTCAGTATTATATAGCACTAGTTAAAAGAGCAAAGTAAATCTACAAACAGACTTTTAACATACTGTCTAATGCATTACCCAGTAATATATAGTAATAAAAATGCAAAATGGTCTAAAAGATCCTAATAACTGTCATTTATACATTTATTCCAATGAAAAACATTTTTTAAAAGGTGTATTCTTCTTGGTGTAAATTGGCATCATAAAATTTCTAATATTTTTATTAAATAATAGCTTTTTTCTCTTTTGACTAAGCTAGTATATTTTAAAGTTTCATAAAAAAATTAAATGTATATAATTATGTCTCTTGGAAAAATTAGTAAATTCAAGGAGGCTTGGATTCACTTGATTAAAATGCCTTCTCTCCYCTCTGCATATTAGTATGTTGAAGACATTCAGACTAAATTGCCACCAATGTCTGAGGAACTTAAAGATAAAATAGATGACCTCTCCCAAGAAATAAAGGACAGGAAGCTTGCTGAGAAGGTGTCCCAGGCTGAAAGCCACGCAGCTCAATTGAATGACTCATCTGCTGTACTTGATGGGTATGTCATTTGTTGTTAGAAATGCCAATGTACTGTGACACTTATCCAAAAGTTTTGACAAGCAGAAATGATAGAGAATCATTTTCAAATCTTGATTTCTACAATTATGAACAAAAGAGCTACATGGCCTTTCTATGGAACATCCTAATTAGAAGGGTGTATGCAAAGCTCTACTGGAAAAGCATCAAAAGTCCAAGTTAAAAGTGGATTCATGCCTGACTTATTAGGAAGTGAACATGGCCTTAGGCTACACTTAGAATATTATTTTCTGTTCTTTATTAGAAAKCACAGCAGTTGCCTTATTAGCATTTTAAATAATAATAATATATTAACATTTTCTGCTTCAAAATTTAGTTTTATATTCATAATGGAATAAAAAAATTTATTATTAAAAGGTGCCTTTTGAAATGTAACCCTATACATAGCCTCTTTCTTGCTCATACGAATTCCAGGAAGATCCTACATACCCTGTGAAATAACAGCTTGCTATAAGGGGGATTGTTGCATGATTCAGGGAGAGAAGGGCAGAAGAAAAGGGTGTTTTTAAGTTGCAAACAGCCTTCCAGGTGTAACTAACGTATTTCACCAACACTTTAGGATTGACAAAATAAATACAAGAGCTATTGGCCCCCCAAATAATTTTTCCAAATAAATCTATATTTAATGTACACCATACACAAGGATATGTTTCCATACTTAGAACTTATTGTTACAAAGGAAAATACTATTGTTTGAAAATGCTAGGCACTGTATAACTTTCTTTTTTTTTTTTTTTTTTGCCAATTTACGGTAAAGGGTTGTAGATAGAAAAGTGAGCCAGGAGTCAGCCAACCCAAGTTTCAAGTCCAGATTCCTCATTAGGGATATGTCTGTCATGTGACTTGAAGCAAGCCATTTAAACTTCTGAGATTTTTTTTCATTCTCCCCTGGTAATGCACCTACCCCAGAAAGATTTTTTTTTTTAGAAAATATATCAATATTTTCTTTTAGTTTTGTTAGTTATTTCTGTGGTTTTTGTTTGTTCTTTTTAGATATACATGACAGTAGAATGTATTTTGGTATATTATACATACATGGAGTATAATTTATTTTAATTAGGGTCCTATTTTTGTGGTCATACATGATGTAGAGTTAACCTGGTCTTATATTTAAATACAAGTATAGGAAAGTTATGTCTGATTAATTCTACTATCCTTCCTATTTCCCTTCCCACTCCCTTTTCTTTGTTCCCTCTTTTTTAAAAAAATTATAATCTATTTATGTATTCTTTTTTTATTATTTGTTTCACTTAGTTACACATGACAGTACAATGATCTTGACATATCATACATTTGAATCAGATGGGATGTAATTTCTCATTTTTCTGAGTGTACAGGTTGCAGAATCACATTGGCCATGCAGTCACATATATAAACACAGTAATAATAATGTCTGTTTCGTTCTACTATCCTTCYTATCTCCCCAACCCCTCCCCTCCCACCACTTCTCTCTACTTAATCTAGGGTAAAGCTATTCGATTTTTTTCTCACATCTTCATACATGTATTTTGTATAACGATGAGGGTCTCCTTCCACCAAACATGCAATTCTGTTTCTCCCTCCYTTTCCCTCCCACCCCTCTTCCCTATGTAGAAGTAATCTTCTTCCCATGCTCTTCCTCTCTTCCCCATGTTGAGTCACCCCCCTTTATATCAGAGAAGACATTCAGGATTTGTAGACTTTTTGAAGTTCATTCCAGCAATGGGGTGCAAGTTCTCTGAAACCTCTAGTTTGCTTTATAAATAACATGAAGGATTGTCTCACTGTACACACACGCCTGGTGCATATGGTTGCAGAGGCTTTGGATGATGCTGCAGATGTTTAAGAATGTTGGAGGTATTTCATAGCTGAATTGTTTAAGAATATGAATTTAAATTGAAAACTACAACACTGTAAGTAGATATGTCACTATGATTCACAATTACTATCATTATTTTGAAGCCATGATTGTTATAACCAGGATGTTCCTTATTTGCTTACTCACAACTCTGATGTTATTTTTGTGTGTGTGTGGGGGGTTATTCCAACAGAATCCTTGATGAGGCTAAAAACATCTCCTTCAATGCCACTGCAGCCTTCAATGCTTACAGCAATATTAAAGACTACATTGATGAAGCTGAGAAAGTTGCCAAAGAAGCCAAAGGTCTTGCACAAGAAGCTACAAGACTGGTAAGAAACAAACAGGACCATTAGCCTTTTTGAATAGTTACTTAATTTTTTCAAATTTAACTGAGCTCTAAAAACCCTAGTAAATTTGATTCCTGTCTTGAATTATTTTTTTTTTGTAGGCTTCCTTTAAGTTTTCTTCAAAATAAATTCTCTGTGTGCAGAAATCTTTTCTCAGTCACCCACTACTTATCACTGTTAGGGCCTTGAAATTATCACAAATGCCAAGCAGATTTGTGCCACCAGCTCACAAAACAAAAACAAGCTAATAGAACACTCTAGACGGAGAAATCTCTCACCATTATTCCAAATATTTTCACTAAAAAAGTGCCTTGAAAATTAATATCATTGCTTATAATCACATACAATACAGTTGTATGTGAAGTCTGAACATCAAGTGCACTTTTTATAAAGCACATTGGATCAGATCTTTTTAATGTGTTTATAAAATTTTATAAACTAAAAAGTCTTTAAGCTTTGGCTGCAGCCATTGATCAAAATACATTTATACCTAATATTTTAGAGTTTTGAGGTTCCAATTATATCACATTATTTGAGCATCTTCAATATAAACAACTCTTTATCCTTTATATGTAGAACCACATTTTCTAAATAACTTGCATAATAAAACTTGGTGATRATATTTTAAATAAAAAAGACATTACTTAGGAAGCATGCTGTTAGCTAAAATTGTTCAAAACTATCATTCATACAAAATTTCCAAACATATCAGAAATTTGCTGGATGGGGGGCTGATTGGATATTTGATTATGAATGAAATATGGTGTTATGAAATTGCCTGGTATTATAAGAAATGGAYCAATATTTGATTTTGCATTGAGCAAAAAATATTTTCTCAAATCTCTGAGATATTAGAGATAATTACCAGAATCTTAGAGATGTTATCCTGTGACCATAATGAAAACATGATATTCTATCAACAATTACTAACATTCTTTTCTTTTCTCTGAAATAAACTGAACTAATTTCACATATCCTATTTGTTTCTTATGCATAATAGTGACACCCATGTCAACTGATGATTTCTTTTCCTTTGTTCCTTCATTTTTGGAAGGCGAAGAAGCTTGGGGTTAAACTCATAGGTACTTTGTCACTGAGTTACATCCCTAGCCCTTTAATTTTTATTTTGTGGCAAGATATCACCAAGTTGCGTAGGACCTTGTTAAGTTGCTGAGGCTGACCTCGACCTCGTGGTCCTCCTGTGTTAAGCTGCAGAGTTGCTGGAACTACAGACACACACCACCACAACTGTCTCCTTCTTCTTCATCTCCTGGCCACTATTGTTGTCTGAAACTTCCTGTCTCTACCTTTGTCTGGCTCTGTCTTTCTTACACACCTATCCACRGTGTTTCTTAATACCCTCTAGTCCTGAATTACATTTTTCAATTTGTTTCCGTGCTTAAYGAGATCTTTACTGGTGACAACTATGAGAAAGTGAGAACTTATACTACCTATGTCAGTCAGAGTCCTGCAGAGAAATATACCTAGTAGGAGATCATGATGGTGATGATAGATAGATGGATGGATAGATAGATAGATAGACAGAGAATTATCTCACATGATTCTGGATGTGGAGAAGCCCCAGATTTGTCCAGCTGGAAATCTAGCAAAGCCAGGAGTATAATTCAGTTCTAATTAAAAATCTTCAGAATCAAAGGAGTCAATGGTGTAAATCCCAGTCTGAAGGTTAGAGAAGATGAGATGAGATGTTACAGCTCAGTCTATTATGCAAGAAAGAAGGGACTAGATTCCTCCTTCCTCCAGTTTTTGTTCCATTAAAGGTTTCAGTGGCTGCATGGTATACAACCCTTCAGCAGAAAGGGCCATTTGTTTTACTGTCATCCAGAAACACCTTCCTAGACACTCCCAGTACTAGGGTTTGATCTGGACACTCACTGAAATTAATCATAATATTGACCGCAAGCCCTRTGCAGAATTTAATCTTCCTATGTATTCTCCAAATTCAGATTTTCTCTCTTGCCATAATAACTCATATTTCTTGGGAGGCATGATTCTAAAAAATCTTAGGCAAGGTCTTTCCCAGGCATTTTGAAGAATAATAATATAAAATACAAAAGAAAATGAGGGCAATGTGAAAGTAATATGTGTTGTCTTAGACACAGAAATAGTGAGTATAGTACAGTATAAACAAGATGTAAGCTTTRTACAGATTGAATAAGGGAGGGGAAAACCTAGAAAAAAATATTATACAGGAGTAGAATATATCTAAAAGTTAAGTAAGCTTAAAGTGTTGACACTTGTATCCTCATAAATGTCTGAACTGGTCTTGTAGGTAACTTTTGGGGTTCATTTTCTAATATGAGTAAAAATCCATAGAAACCACAAAAGGAGTTTTTATGTTTGTTTGCTTGTTTGCTTCAGGATCAAGTGTCTAAAGAATAAAGTGGATTTTTGAAAATTTACTCTTATGTGGCAGATCAGTGAGGGAAAAACTACTGATAGGAAGCACTTAACTACTACAAAATACACTTTATTCACTACACTGCCACAAAACACATTTCACTCACTGAAATACTACAAAATATACTTCAAAAGAAATGTCAATAAAATCAAAGAACATGGGGATTAAAGAGAAATGCATGAACCAAAAATAGTACATGTGTAAAAGTTTAGGTCAGAATTGTTAAGATCATGGTGATGATAATAATACATATAATTAAAAGAGAAAMATTAAATTCAAGAGACTAATTACATGGAAAATGTGGCATGTGGTCAGTTAAAAGTTTTTAAGGTCCTTCAGTTTGAGGAAGGAAAGTAAAAGCTGATTACCTTTCATATATATCAAATTTTGTGTGTTAGATATTGAGGATTGCTATAAGAGAATGAAAATAATTATATTAAAGTTCTCTAAGGAAACAGAACTGATRCACACAGCATCACATCATTTAGCATTCTAGAAAGTGTGGTGTTAGGTGATTTCTTTGTTTTGCAACAACATGAAGTGCACTAACCTGGTTAAAGATAGCTATGACATCACCTGCTGATGTAACCTTAAGGGACCACCATTGTAATGCAAGTCATCCTTGACAAAAGCATCACTGTGTGGCACATGAAAAAAAAATACACACACACACACACACACACACACACACATATTAAAAAGCATTGGCTCACATAATTATAGTACGTAACAAGTTTCCTTAGGCCAGGCTAATAGGCTAGAGACCTAGAAAAGAGTTAATGTTTTAATCTTGAGTCCAAAGGCAGTCTGCATGTAGAATTTATTCTTCCTCAGGGTTCTCAGTGTTTTCTCTTACGATTACCCACACTATGGAGAGTAAACTGCTTTACTCAAAATCTRCTGATGTAAGTGTTGAACCCATTTTGTCCCATTATCCCAGATACAGAGCATCTGGAAAAACTTATAGGATATATAATAAAATTATATAACATGAACTTATATAATAATAAAAGAATGTATTATAATGCAATATATATAATRTACATAAGCTCTAGATTATGATTCCCAACCTATTTTAATGCACCTGTGTCAATTTTATTGAAATATTTGMAGAATTGAAAACTTGGGACTTYGTGAGTTAATCAAATCTGAAAAATCCATTCCTAGCAGCATCTACATTAGTAATGTTTGACCACAAMCTGGGTACTATAGTCTAGCCAAGCTGACACGTATAATTAACTATCACAAATAGCTACACATTTAATATAAGCAGAAAGAAAAACAATGTCTGAAGAGAAGGAACATTATCAATCAATTCCATGAAAAGTGAAAAATAGAAAAACAAACAGATCATGGTAAATATAAAATACGATAGAATTATCCAAATATAGAAGTCAGAATAATTATCATTAGTTACCACAAGAAATAACTCCTGAAATTTCAGAGGCTGGACGCAATATAAGTTTGAGTCTCACATCACAACCCAAAGTGTGTCCTACAACTCTTGTCCCTTCTTGTAGTCAACTACACCATACTGTGTAGCCTACAAGATTGTCCTGGCAGAGAAAGGGAAAGAAGAAAGAGACKTGCCAGCTCTCAGCATGTTGGCTTGTGTGGCTTGGCCTAGTCCATTGACCAAAATAAGCCACATGCCCCAAAATAACTGGAAAGGAGACTGGGAGTACTAGAAGGCATATTTGATGAGCGCCAACTGTCTCTGCTTCTGTTTGTCTTCATGATAAAATGCAAACAGACTAAAATTACCAATCGGGTCACCACAATTTTTATATTGGATTATAAAAGATTTGACAAAGGTGGTCAAAACTCTGCTGAGCCATGAAGGTACAGAAGGGTGGGAAATGAAGGGATGAGAAAAAAATACGTCAGGGAAACTAATAAGAAAGCTGGTACACCTCTATAAATAACAGTCAAATAGGTTTTATATCTTTCAAAAGGAGTTATTAGGGATAAAGAGAGTCATCATGATATAAGACAAAGAACTAGATATCAGGAAGATTTTAAATTTGTAAAACTAAAAGGTCATAACAACAAASCATAACACTAAACAAAACTAACACATCAGAATGAGAAAATTGATGTGTCTCTAGTGGGAGATTTTCCTAGATCTCTTATAAATTGAGAGGTAAAGAAAAGACATAAAAAGATATAGATCCAAAGAATACCACAAACCAGATAATTTAATGGCCTTGCAGAATTCTATAACAATTAGATAACTAATTCTACATGCCCCAATAGATAACACTTCTCCTAAAACTTTAAAAACAAAACAATGCCAAAGGACCATGAACTGAAACACAAAGGGTCAGCATATGCTAATGATCCAACGGCACCTAGACTACAGTCTGTGATCACAGTGCAGTAGAATTAGAAACTGATGTAAAATTATGGCCAAAAATAAGTTTTAAAATAAAAACACACTTAAACTTAATTCAGGACTCAGTGAATKAAAACTAATTTTAAATTACAGAATATTTAATAACAGAATGTAAATATAATTCTACARATGTATGGGTTGCAAATAAAATGGTACCTCCAGGAA